GATGGTGTGATCACTCACTGAGAGCCAGATATCCTGGAATGCAAAGTTAAGTGGGCCTTAGGAAGCATCACTATGAACAAAGCTAGTGGAGATGATGGAATTCCAGTTGAGCTATTTCAAATCCTAAATGATGATGCTGTGAAAGTGCTGCACTCAATATGCCAGCAAATCTGGAATACTCAGCAGTGGCCACAGGACTGGAAAATGTCAGTTTTCATTCCAATCTTAAAGAAAGACAACACCAAGGAATATTCAAACTACTGCACAATTGCATTCATCTCACATGCTAGCAAAGTAATACTCAAAATTCTCCAAGCCTGGCTTCAATAGTATGTGAATCATGAACTTTCAGAATTCAAGCTGATTTTAGAAAAGGCAGAGGAACCAAAGATCAAATTGCCAACATCCATTGGATCATAGAAAAAGCAAGAGAGTTCCAGAAAAATATTTGCTTCATTGACTGTGCCAAAGCCTTGACTGTGTGGATCACAATAAACTGTGGAAAAGTCTTCAATAGATGGGAATACCAGACAACCTGACCCACCTCCTGAAGAATCTGTATGCAGGTCAAGAAGCAACAGATAGAATGGGAGATGGAACAACAGACTGGTTCCAATTTGGAAAAGGAGTACATCAAGGTTGTATATTGTCATCCTGCTTATTTAGCTTATATGCAGAGTACATCATAGGAAATGCTGGGCTGGATGAAGCACAAGGTGGAATCAAGATTGCTGATGGGAGAAATATAAATAACCTCAGATATGCAGATGACACCACTCTTATGGCAGAAAGTGAACAAGAACTAAAGAGCTTCTTGGTGAAAGTGAAAGAGGAGAATGAAAAAGTTGTCTTAAAGCTCAAAAAACTCAGATCATGGCTTCTGGTCATGGCAAATAAATGGAGAAATAATGGAAATAGTGAAAGACTTTATTTTCTTGGGCTCCAAAATCACTGCACATGGTGACTGTAGCCATGAAATTAAAAGATACTTGCTTCTTGGAAGAAAAGCTATGTCCAAACTAGACAGCATATTAAAAATCAGAGACATTACTTTACCGACAAAGGTCCGTCTAGTCAAAGCTATGGTTTCTCCAGTAGTCATGTATGGATGCGAGGGTTGGAATATAAAGAAAGCTGAATGCCAAAGAATTGATGCCCTTGAACTGTGGTGTTGGTGAAGACTCTTGAGAGTCCCTTAGACTGCAAGGAGGTCTTACCAGTCAGTTCTGAAGGAAGTCAGTCCATCCTGAATATTCTTTGGAAGGGCTGATGCTAAAGCTGATTCTCCAATATTTTGGCCACCTGATGAAAAGAACTGACTCATTGGAAAAGACCCTGATGCTGGGAAAGATTGAGGGCAGGAGGAGAAGGGAATGACAGAGGAGGAGATGTTTGGATGGCATCACTGACTTGATGGACATGAGTTTGGGCAAGCTCCAGGAGTTGGTAATGGACAGGGAAGCCTGGTGTGCTGCAGTCCACGGGATTGCAAATAGCTGAACACGGCTGAGCAACTGAACTGAAGGGCAGTTTAGTGTTTCTCTTGTTTTTGCTCTCTCTCTCTTCTCACTTACTGTCCAGTGAAGGAAATAAATCACCATACTCTTATCACCATTATATTCTAAATGTCTGCTTTCAATTATCTCACTAATGGAGTGCTGTGAATCAGTAGATTTTTTGGGGAAAACAAAACAAAACAAAACTGTATTTGACTTTGCAATGAATGTCATATGTTGATATTTTGCATTACAAGTTGCAAAGAGAAATACGAAAGTGTAAAGAAGAAAGTTCTGCCAGCCAATTAAACTTTTAGTCCACCTTTACAGAAAACAAATTCCCTGTTCCTGAAGGGCACTATTTAAGCAGAGTTTGATTACTTATTTTTTCAAGGATATTATGAAAGTGTTTTTTCTATTTTAAATTATATTACAATAACTTTCTATTACTAAAGGAGGTGGCTCAGACACATACTAGGTGTAAAGCTGAGGAACCAGTTAGAACTTACTCTTGATAACCTAGACTAGAAAACCCCATCGCTAAAACTGAACATTGAAAGATATGCTCTATACATTATTGAGTGTAATGGTGATGATGATATATATTTATGAAAACTTCTCTACTTGTGTTACAGAAAATAGAAATTATTGATGATGAAGAAAGTGATATGCTAAGTAATTCTGAAGTAGAGCAAGTGAATTCTTTCTTGGATTATAAGGTAATTTCAGATCCTTAATTTTTTAAGAGAAGGTATTAAAGGAGGTTGGTGATAGACAGGAATCCTGGCATGCTGCAGTCCATGGTATTGCAAAGATTCAGACATGACTGAGTGACTGAACTGAACAGACTGATTAAAAGAGGTAGACTTTTACAGTACCTATGTACCAGTTTTTTTCACTTCCATTTTCCATTTGATAAATTAAGCATCCTGAGGCTCTGCATTGACTCGCTCAGGCATCTGGATATTAGTCATTGTGCTGGGCATTTTAATTAATGCTGGTCAGTTTAGTGGTTAAGGTCTTAAGAACAGTTTGCTGAGCAGCAGTAAGTATTAATGCTGCATTGCAAGATGAGGCATAGTGGTGGTTAGTGTGAAATTTATGACAATAGTTTTTTTAAAGCCTATGTTCATTTTTAAATGATTGCAAAGGGGATATTTTCCCTAGTGTTCCTTGTTAATTTTATCTTGAGTTTCAGTTTATGAAGATTTTTTAAAAACATATAATAATATACCTGTTTTAGAAGAAGTTTAAAAACAATCCCCATGGCAATTACTGAATTAATATGAATACAGATGACCTTTTCTTAATGTCACTTGTTACTAAAATGAAAGACTTACTTTGACAGCATGCCATACATAATTTTGTTTTTTAAAAATTTTTGACATAAGCTATCAGTCTAGATGTTGATATGTTTTTCATAGATGTTTAATTGTTGTCCCTTTGTTAATCCATGTCATATCTTACTAGGTAGCTTTGGGACCTTCTGAAATTTTGACCACAGAGTCATTTTTTTCATAGATAATAGTAATTTTAAAATGTTAACAAAAGATAACATTTAATCAGAAAGATAGCAGCTGTCATTAACCTTTTTCAGTTTTACTATAATTGAAAACTATGTAATTCAACATATTCTGTTTTTCAACTGTTTATGACATGTCAGACTTTAAAATATTGAACATTGTAAACACAGAAGGAAATTATTTTTTGAAATTTATTTCCTAAGTGGTCAAAAAGCACAATATAATCCTGTATTTAAACTATATTTTAACTAATAAAATTATAAGGTTGTTGGTTGTGAAGTACAAGAGATCATTCTAATCTCTCCATGGTCATATAACATTTATAAATGTCCAGTTCAGGGTTTAAATGGCTTTGCGAACCATCGCTTGGCACAGGCTATGGAAATTACTGATGATACGACTGGGTTGCACAGCTATTAAGTGTACTCAGTACTCTCAAACAGGTCAGATAGGACTGGTCCCAGAACTCAGAGGATTCTTTCCAGGACATTTACCCATTGGTGTACCAGCTCACTTGAAAGGTTTGAAGCTGAAGACATCAGCAAGCCAGAGTATCCAGTCCAGAAATGTCATTTTCATTGAATTCTAAAGGACATTTAAAGATTCAGTGTTTTCCATTTTGGTGAATGCTGTGGGAACAAGGGGTCTTTTGCTCCCTTATTAAGATATCTTTTATAACACATCATCATTCTATACAAACTTTTATTAAACTCTCAAAAATTAGCACCTATATAGAAAATATGTCTCTCTATAGTCATTATTCAAGATATTTCAGTTCAACCCATCAGTGAATTTTGTTACTTTAATTCCAAAATAACGATAAGTGAAACCTCATATAGCAGTTCTCATTGCTAATTTCAGTACATTGATTTATTTATTTTTTTTAATATTACTCAGCCTTTATTTATTTATTTTTTCCATTTATTTTTATTAGTTAGAGGCTAATTACTTTACAACATTGCAGTGTTTTTTGTCATACATTGAAATGAATTAGCCATGGATTTACATGTATTCCCCATCCCGGTCCCCCCTCCCACCTCCCTCTCCACCCGATCCCTCTGGGTCTTCCCAGTGCACCAGGCCCGAGCACTTGTCTCATGCACCCAACCTGGGCTGGTGATCTGTTTCACCCTAGATAACATATATGTTTCGATGCTGTTCTCTTGAAACATCCCACCCTCGCCTTCTCCCACAGAGTCCACAAGTCTGTTCTATACATCTGAGTCTCTTTTTATATTTTGCATATAGGGTTATCGTTACCATCTTTCTAAATTCCATATATATGTGTTAGTATACTGTAATGGTCTTTATCTTTCTGGCTTACTTCGCTCTGTATAATAGGCTCCAGTTTCATCCACCTCATTAGAACTGATTCAAATGTATTCTTTTTAATGGCTGAGTAATATTCCGTAGTGTATATGTACCACAGCTTCCTCATCCATTCGTCTGCTGATGGGCATCTAGGTTGCTTCCATGTCCTGGCTATTATAAACAGTGCTGTGATGAACATTGGGGTGCACGTGTCTCTTTCAGATCTGGTTTCCTCTGTGTGTATGCCCAGAAGTGGGATTTAAAATACCCTTACCAGTTTGGAAATTTGATCTTCCTTCAAAGTCAATCATTCTATTCTCTTTGTTTGCACATGCTAGTCTCCTTTGTTTAGGGTTCAGAATCACTTTGTTGGTTTCTTGAATATATTCACCATAAGCTTCTTGAAGTCAGATACATATCTTATTCATGTATATGTTACCTAGTGCTTAAGTCATAGGTATCCAGTAACTAGTTCCTAGAATAAATTCATATCCTTTGGAAATATATTTAATATTATTAGGCGTGTTCATTTAATATGCAAGTGTTTTCTATTTGCATTTGGAAATTACTACTATACAACCATCAATATTCAGTGTTGGCATAGTGGAGTTTCTGATTGAGATATTTGCCAGGAATCCATATTACTAAGAGTTCTAACTACCTGAAATGCTTGTGAGACAAGTGAACAAGATCAGTTTTCAGGCATGATTAGCTATGTCATAATGCCTCAGGTTTAGCTGCATTTTAAAAACATTAATTTATTTATTTTAATTGGAGGCTAATCACTTTACAATATTGTGGTGGTTTTTGCCATACATAGACATGAATCAGTCATGGGTACATGTGTCCCACCATCCTGAACCCTCCTCCCACCTCCCTCCCCACACAAGCCCTCTGGGTTGTCCCAGAGTACCAGCTTTGAGTGCATCAAACTTGCACTGGTCGTCTATCTTGCATTTGGTAATATACATGTTTCAATGCTATTCTCTCATACTGTCCCACCTTTGCCATCTCTCACAGAATCCAAAAGTCTGTTTTTACATCTTTGTCTCTTTTGCTGTCTTGCACATAGGGTCGTCAATACCATCTTTCTAAATTCCATATATGTATTGGTGTTTCTCTTTCTGTCTTACTTCACTCTGTAGAATAGGCTCCAGTTTCAACCACCTCATGAGAACTGACTCAAATGCATTATTTTTAATAGCTGACTAATATTCCATTGTGTATACATACCACAGCTTTCTTAACCATTCTTCTGCCAATAGACATCTAGGTTGCTTCCATATCCTAGCTATTGTAAATAGTGCTGCAATGAACATTGGGCTACATGTGTCTCTTCCAATTCTGGTTCTTCGGTGTGTATGCCCAGCAGTGGGATTGCTGGGTCATATGACACTTCTATTTCCAGTTTTTTTAAAAGAATATTCACACTGTTCTCCACAGTAGCTGTATTAGTTTGCATTCCCACCAACAGTGTAAGAGGGCTCCCTTTTCTCCACACTCTCCAACACCTATGGTTTGTAGACTTTGTGATGATAGCCATTTTGACCAGAATGAGATGGTACCTCATTGTGTTTTTTGTTCTGTTTTTTTTTTTTTTTTTACTTTTAATTTATTTATATATTTTTAAATTTATTTTAATTGGAGGCTAACTATTTACAATATTGTGGTGGTTTTTGCCATACATTCACATGAATCAGCCATGGGTATACATGCATCCCCCATTCTGAACACCCCTCCCACCTCCCTCCCCATCCCTTCCCTCAGGGTCATCCCAGTGCACCAGCCCTGAGCACCCTGTCTCATGTATCAAACCTGGACTAGTGATCTATTTCACATATGATAATATACATGTTTCAATACCATTTTCTCAAATCATCCCACCCTCACTTTCTCCCACAGAGTCCAAAAGTCTGTTCCTTACATCTGTGTCTATTTTGCTGCCATGCATATAGGGTCGTGATTAGAATCTTTCTAAATTCCATATATATGTATTAGTATACTGTATTGCTGTTTTTCTTTCTAACTTACTTTGCTCTGTATAATAGGCTCCAGTTTCATCCACCTCATTAGAACTGAGTCAAATGCATTATTTTTAATAGCTGAATAATATCTAATTGTGTATATGTATCACAGCTTTCTTATACATTCATCTGTTGATGGACATATAGGTTGCTTCCATATCCTGGCTATTGTAAACAGTGCTGCGATGAACATTGGGGTACAGGTGTCTCTTTCAATTCTGGTTTCCTCAGTGTGTATGCCCAGTAGTGGGATTGCTGGGTCGTATGGCACTTCTATTGCCATTTTTTTAAGGAATCTCCACACTGTTCTCTATAGTGGCTGTATTAGTTTGCATTCCCATTAACAGTGTAAGAGTATTCCTTTTTCTCTGCACCCTCTCCAGCATTTATTGTTTGTAGATTTGTGATATCAACCATTCTGACCAGGGTGAGATGGTACCTTTTTGTGGTTTTGATTTGTATTTCTCTGATAATGAGCGATGTTGAGCATCTTTTCATGTGTTTTTCAGCCATCTGTATGTCTTCTTTGGAGAATGTCTGTTTAGTTCTTTGGCCCATTTTTTGACTGGGTCATATGACCCAGCAGTCCCACTGCTGGGCATACACATCGAGGAAACCAGATCTGAAAGAGACACACGCTTATTTTTCTGGAATTGAGCTGCAGGAGCTGCTTGTATATTTTTGAGATTAATTCTTTGTCAGTTGCTTCATTTGCTATTATTTCCTCCCATTCTGAAGGCTGTCTTTTCACCTCGCTTATAGTTTCCTTCTTTGCACAAAATCTTTTAAATGTAATTAGGTCTCATTTGTTTATGTTTGCTTTTATTTCCATCACTCTGGGAGGTGGCTCATAGAGGATTC